GTTTTATTTTGTTGTATTTATCCGCGACACCTTAAAGGCCGGTCCGTGAAAATATTGTCGGGCATAAACCGGTCCGTGGCGCAAAAAAGGTTGGAGACCGCTGCTGTAGAGGATTTGCACACACTGCAAAGATCCACGGGAAACACGGCGGGAATTCCACTGTGGGATCTAAAACTAACAGCCGTGCTAAAAATGCTTCAGAGGTGCACAAGAAGATGACCTTAAACTTAAGATCTGCACAATTTGGATCTGCTAAGGCTCTTGATTCTCACACACGTTCAGATTAAACATTCATCAGTCATGACAGTGATCTGAAAGCGTCAGACTGCGTCAAACGTGCACCGTGCAGCCGATTACAGCAACGACACTCTAGCAGAGTCCAGAAAAGTCTCCTGAAGATTTGTTTTATACTTATATTTTAATTCCTCTGCATCAGCAAACACAATGCCATCCAACAGACGTCAAACCCTTAAAGGTGCCGTGCTGTTAAAGCTCCTGTTAAATGAGCTTTTTCCTATCTTAAGTATCACATGCAAACTAATTGTTCATCATCATTCTAAACTTTACTGAATAAACTGAACACTGAAAACTTTATTTCACACTTAAAGGGTTTTTCCATCCCTCTGTTGTGGTTCTGTGTTATCAGCCTAACAGTGTCAGCGGCTGCTGGCTGTGTGGTACCTACACCGGTGCGCCTGCCGGGCAGATCCGGTGCAGACAGCTGCCGATGTGAGCGATCACCTTGTCCACTTCCTCTGCAGAGCCCAGCCGGAGGCTCCACGAGCCGTGCTCATGCTCCAACACCAGCTGCAGGGGGCGACACACACAAAGGAATCGGACATGAAGGAAACACGGATGTGAAGAAACGCAGACACCCCGTGATGATGATGGTTGGTTTTCCCCTGAAAGCCTGAGGAGGCTGATTCAGGTGAGTTAATGCAGAGCTGGAGTCCTTTCTCACTTCTCCAGTTTAAAAGACCAACATGATGCAGAACAACACACGGTGGAAAAGAGGACAGTCAAACCTGCTTTAGCTTCATGAGGAAAAGCTGTCAATGTTTTACATGAGACACATGTGCATGTGGATGTAGTCCAGATGTTGTCATGTGTGCTGCGATGTAATGAAGAAAAAGCTACAATGTTGTTGTTTGTACCTGTGTGGGCTTGTTGCTCTGGATTCCCTGGATTTCCAGATAGCTGAAGGACTGTTCAACCTGAAAGGGTTCAGAAGACACGCGTGTTGAAATCCACGCTAAACACATCAACTTAACCTTG